GAGGCCCCCAGGGGAGAAAGCTTCCGGCGGGGTGGGCTTGGGAGGGCTGGGGGACTCCGGCAGTATTTCTGTGACACCTGGAACCTGCCTTCTGAGCTGAGCTTGCGCGCGCACCTGGTGCTGCTGCTCCTCTGAGGGAGGGGGAGCCCCTGGCGATTGAGCCCCTTGGGTCCTCGGCCTCCCAGCCGGGCCTGCCCTGCACAGTTGGCCAGTTACAGGGCTGCATGGGGGCTGACTTGGCACTGGGCACCTTCCTAGTGGGCTTGGCCAGGGCCGTGTCCCAGCACCTGGCTTCCAGCCCAAGTGGGGCAGGGCCGAGCCTCTTCCTGCCCCTCTGCCCACCCAGCGGGGCAGGCACAGCCTTGCCGTCATCTACCAGCGGGAGCCCACAGGTAACCACGGTCCAGGTCACAGCGTACAGAAACGGGCAGGCTCCGTGGAGACCCGCTCGGCCCGGGCTGAGGGTGTGGGTGCCCTGAGGAGGCTGCTGGCCTGCTAGGCCCGGAATCCGCTTCCCACAGAGGTGGAGGGGCCCGTCAAGCCCATGACCACGATCTGCTCCCAGGCCGGTTGCTTCTGGCCTCAAGTGGAGGTCACAGATTGTGCCCTCCGAGTGACAGGGCACATCTGGCCCTTGCTCACACCAGAGTCCTTCCTGCATTGAGTGCACCAGCCCTGCGCTAGGCGGTCCTCTTGCCCCTCCTTAAGTGCTGATGTGCTCGGGAGGCCATCCGGGGCCTGACACGTACCTGGGGCCCTGCTAGCCTGTGCTCCTCCACAGTGAGTTCCTGCAAGCCCAGGCATGCCCTGGCACCCCTGGGGGCTCTGGGGTGGGGCTCAGGTGAGGTTGGGTCCCAGGCTGGGACCGTCAGGGGTGGGAAAGGTGGGGCTCTTGGTGCTTGTCCCCACAGGAAAGTGTGGGCTTTCCTAGCAAGGGAGCCCCCAGGGAGGGGGCAGGGGCGCTGTCCAGGGCTGGCTGCCTGGAGTGCTTGGTGGTGTGTGTGGGGAGCGATGTGGGACCGAACAGGAAGCAGGAGAGACTGGCCAGGGCTGCTGAGCGGCTTGCAGGGCCACAGGGCAGGTTGAGGGGTGGCAGGTGAACAGTCTCAGCTGCGGTTGCCCCTGGGGGATGGGGCGGGAGGGGTGAGGGGCAGATGCCCCGGGGATAGGAAAGGAGGCCACTGAGCAGGCACCGACTGAGGGGGTCAATGAGGGTAGAGAGGGCTGCGCTGCGTAGGGGAAGGATGTGGAGCTGGCTGGCCCTGGGGCCCATCGGGCCTGGCGGTAGACGTGGCAGAGGTCGTCTTCCGCCTACGAGGCCTCGCCATGAGTCTGCCTGTGCCTGAGCGCTGCTCCCTGGACCCCTACGCTGGAGACCCCCGCGCGGCAGGGAGGGCAGTGGGCTGAGTCCTGGAGAAAAAGACTCCTCGCCGGGCACTCGATGCTTGTATACACTTTGCGGTTTATTTGGGGGTCAGTAAGTAATGTCTTTGCTACTAAGTGGAAGAAAGCTAACAGAACGTAATCACAATAGTCACAATAGTGGTTTAATTGACGAATCTTACTTGTTCCTTGCCTACTTACAGTTTACAGGGGTGCAAACCTCGCGCCGCTGCCCCTGGCCCTCATTACTGCTAGGGGCTC